TCCGGATGCTCCTTCATCGCCTAGAATATATCAGATCTCCAGGCCCGGTTTGAAGTGATGCACAACTTTGCACGAGAGCGAGTCAACTTGGCGACGAGAAGATGAAGACCCGATAACGACACAAGAGCTACTGAACATCAATTCCACGAAGGAGACAAAGTGTGGTTGTGGAATCCGACTCGACGGAAGGACTTTGTCCGAAATTACAGTCACCTTGGGATGGCCCGTACCACAGTCCTAAAAAGGCTGAATGACGTCGTGGTTCGAATTCGTAAGTCTTCGAACTCTAAACCTAAAGTCGTTCATTACGACAGGCTAGCTCATTACTATGACCATAGTACGTAATGTAAATAATTATAATATTATAAGACCATGGTCCTTTTTGTTTTTAAGTGTGTATTTGATTTGATTTGTTTTAGTTAGTTATTGAATTTATTGTTCATGTTTTTTTATTGTAATGTAATGTTTAACCTCATTTGCATTTATGCCTCAGTTGTAATTTTGGCTTCCTGTCCAGGGATTAACTGCCCGGGACGTGCAGTCCTTGGGAAGGGGGGTGTTACGAATTTGGTATTTAAAAAGCTAATGTTAGTTCAATTATAAATTAAATGTTTTTATTTCTCGCGCAGTGCAGCACGTTGACGAATATTAAAGAAAGCTAAGCCGGAAAATTGAAAATACAAGAGCGCGTTGCATTAAATAAATAAAATAACTCTTTTGATTTCGAGAAGTACTGGAAAATTCTAGCGCGTGATTTTAAATGTTTAAAAGGAGGAAAACATCTCAGTTTGTAATTGCTGCTTAGTTTGTTGTTGTTTAGAAAATTGCTCTTGTTGATTGTAGTGAATTCGCGGATCAGCGTTCTTTAGCTGTTTTGAATTACGTTCTATTGGACATTTGAGTAGTTAGAAGATAACTACTGTGAGATATTGTAATACTGCACGATTATTTGAGAAAATTTAAGCATTTTTTTTTTGTGATAATAATAAATTTTTGTTCATTTTTCATCGGACTTGTGCATTCATTTCATAACGAACCCGTACGCACGCAACAATATTAAAATGAGCATAATAATAATGATCATAATAAATAATTTAAAGGTACTTTAGTGACAGATATTTGATTTACAGTGTCTCACAAAAGTGATGGGACACTTGTGCTTTACAAAAGGAAACTGTAATAAAATAAATTAAAAAAACATATAAATTTTTTTGTGGGTGTGTTTCATATTTAAATTTAGTAACAATTATTACATAACATACATTTTCTCAAAATGTTAAAATATTAATTTAAAAAAAATACAATTGTTTAGAACGGACCAAAAAATGGTTCACATAAGTGATGGGACATTATTAGATAGTACTACATACTACAATAAAAATATTTTGGGTTTTTTTATTTTTACTCAAAAGCAATTGGCAATAATTTACGAAATCGTCTGCAGTATTTCTCTTCAGTTTGTTTTGGAATTTTTGTGTTTTTTAGCTCTGTGCAGCCATGAATGCTAAACGAAAAGAAACTTTGCCTGAAATTCGAAAATTAGTTATTAATTTGTATATTGAACGTGGAAAATCTATTAGAGAAACTGCTGAAGCAGTTAACTTAAGTCATTCAACAGTTTTCATATCATTAATTAAACGATATAAAAAGAATCATATGATTCAGGACAAAAGAAGACCTGTCCGACCATCAAAGCTATCCAATGGAATAAAGCGAATTATCGTTCGAAATATTAAAAAAAAAAAAAAAAAAAAACTAAGAATTAGTGCTCCTAAAGTTGCTGCTGATTTACAAGCATTATATAGAGTAATTGTTAATCCTGAGACTATTAGAAGAGTAATTCGATCTGTTGGATATCACGGTACAGCAGCCAGGAAAAAATTCTTCGTAAGTGAAAAGAATAGAAAACTCAGACTGGCTTTCGCAAAATCCAACATAAATAAGAATTCTGATTACTGGAATGAAGTTATATTTGCTGATGAGAGTAAATTTAATATATTTGGTTCTGACGGTAGAATCTTGGTGTGGAGAAAACCCAAGGAAGAATTTCGCAAGCAGAACTTGGTGCCAACAGTAAAAGATAGTGGAGGAAGAGTAATGGTATGGGGGTGTATGTCGTCCGTTGGAGTTGGTAATCTTGTTTTTATTGACAGTATAATGGATCAGTACAATTATATTAACATTTTAAATCAAAATTTGAAATCTTCAGCACGAAAATTGAACCTTCATAACGATTTTGAATTCTACCAGGACAATGACCCCAAGCACACTGCTTTGAACGTTATACTCTGGCTGCTGTATAACTGCATTGAAATGATAAAAACACCACCTCAATCTCTAGACTTAAATCCCATAGAGAATATTTGGAAAGAATTGGAATCAAGAATTCGCAAACATACCATTTCTTCAAAACAACAAATAAAATCGGTGCTTCCAGAAGAATGGGGTAAAATCACTACAGAAATCACAAAAAAATTAGTCGGATCCATCCCGAGAAGATTAAATCATGTTTTAAAAGTAAAAGGAAATCCAATAAAATATTAAAACCTTTTAAAAAGTAAAATTTTTGGATAAATATTTGATGGAAAAGTAAGTGTCCTATCACTTATGTGAGCCATTTTTTGCTCCGTTCTAAACAATTATATTTTTATTAAATTAATATTTTAATTATTTTAAAAAATGTATGTTATGTAAAATTGTTACTAAATTTAAGTGTGAAACACACCCATAAAATTTTTTTATATGTTTTTTAATTTATTTTACTACAGTTTTCTTTTGTAAAGCACAAGTGTCCCATCACTTTTGGGAGACACTGTAGCTTAGAGAAAAGAAGTTCTACTTATCTGAATGTTCCGTCTTGGTGTTGTTAAAGATTACAAGGAAGATAAGACCTATAGGTTCAGGAAAACTTTCGGTTTTGAGAACGAGACAATGTAGAGGATATTCGCGAAAATTTTTCTTAAGTAGATGAGCATTATCTGAAAAAACTCTTTGAAAATTTAGGAGCTCTTCTAAGATCCTGCCTCTATCGTACGTGATCACTAATCACAGCGCCGCTGCCAGTGCCAAAGCCTAAAAGAAAATCAGATGACTGCCCTAACAACAGTTAAGGAAATTTCGCTTTCGAACAACATCTTCCTCATCATTTTCCACTTACGTCGTTCACTCTTGTACAATACAGTAAAATTAAGTTTGTGTCTATTTCAGCTATTTAATACTTTGTTTATCCTTTATATTTTATGATTTCCATTGATTTTAGGTTACAAAGTACAAAGTTTAAATATGCAATCATCTGCGTTCCAAGAAAGAATTAATCCGCATTTCATTAATTTCTGTGGAAAAATTGTTTCAGTTTGCGAAACGTTGAGTGATGAAAAGGACGAATTGGTTTCAGGAATGAATTCATTATGTGAGCCGAGGTTTCAAATTAGCAACAGCTTGAAGAAGAAAAACAGAGAAATGAAACTGAAACTATATGTGACGTCAGAAAGGGGAACTCCCTGGCGCTGAAGTTTGGTTTCGTCAAACTTGTTGGTACGAGAGAGTCTGTGTAAACAGAAAATTGTATGTGTTAGAAAACCTGCGGTAAGTTTTTATTTATCTAGCAAGTGATAAAACAAAGGGCGTTTTTGAATTGACATGTTTATAGTTTATTAATGTTTATTTTGCTTTCGTAAACAGCTGGGAAAACCATTCGAAAGGAATAGGGAAATTGTGGGTAATGTTAAAGTGTGCTATCTAGTTTTGTTTAGTATAATGCAAGTAAACTGACTTTATCAGTGAATATTTCCCCCCCTGAATATAGTTAATTTTAAGCGTTTATAAAACTATCATTATTATATAGAAAAAAATTATTTATATGTGTTATAAATATTATCATTTTCGCAACCGTAATTTTTTTTCATGTGATACGAAATGTGGTTTTGAAACACATGTAAAGGTACAGATTTTCATATTTAAAAAAAAATCTGGGTAAAATCCTAGTATACGGTGCAGCCTTGGCGCGATTTTGAAAATTATCGCCAACACCAAAAATGACCCAAAGAACGTCTATGTATATATTATACACTATCACTACATAGTACATACTATATAACATACATTCTTTGAATGACCCGTTTACTACTCATCATAAAGTCGCCAAAAGTAGCCAAATCCCGTATGCACCGGATACTAGGATTAAGCCAAAATCTGTTTCAGCAGGATAATTTCTAACTTGGTTATGTCCTATTTTTGATTTTGCCAAGTATGGAAACTTTTACCTGGATCCATGGTATGCAATTTCTTTCACGAAAACTATTATATTTTAACATCTCTAACTTTGGATGGTTTACATGACAAATTATTAAAAGAGCTTAGTTTTATATTGTACTGTATTAACTTTTTACAAGATCATTGTTCCCAGTTGGAAACATCAACTTGAAAATACATTTAAAAATAAAATTTCATTCATATTGACAAAACATTTTATGAATGAAAGATTGATTTTTCAATATAAAACTCAGATATCATGTAGATAATGGATAGCGAATAGAAATTCAGAAAAATTTTCTTTGTCATTTTTTTTTAAAGAGTACAACTTAAAAATTCATATAAAATTGAAAATTAATCCAGTATGTCTCAAAATTAGCAGACAACAGTCAAAAAGGGTTCACTTTACACATCAATGTGCTTTCACTTAAAAAGTCGAAGGAAATTAACAAAGAACCCAATTCTTCGTACTTTTGTAAAAAGCACCAAACATAATGCACCAAATAAGTGGGCAATTTTGCATTTCACACATTATTAATTAAGAAATACATTTCCTGTAAGTCATTCAACTTTCATGTTCCCATTTAGGAACAATGGCAATTATTCTGTGAAATGGGGAATTCCGCTTACTGAGATCTTCGCTGAAAGGGGGGGGGGAATTTGCGAGAAACCGGTTATACAAATAAGAGGATAAATCTTTTTTTATAGCAGACAGGTAAATATCCTAATTTTGCTGAAAGAAAATTTCATTTTTATCTGCAGTTTGCTTCTCAGATTTTCTGATGAAAGTTGTTGAGTATTTTTAGTCCATGAATCATCACAACATGAAGATACATTTTAAAACTCTAAAGGCAGCTGTTGAATATCTGATGACATGACATTGATGAAAATGTTCTTAGTCCTGTTGTACCTTCTGATGTTTGTGGACATGATAGCATTATTAAGAGATTGTCAATTAGCAAAAACGGTTCAGAAGGATAAGTACAGCCCAACTTTGAATGAACAACAAAAGAAACGGAAAACATTTTATAATTCGGTTGATCTTTAGATTATGGTAACTTGGCGATTTTTTGGCGACCAACTGTCCTACAGCAACCCTCTATTTTTTTTTTCCCGCCGCCAAAGACATGTTTCTTTTCTTTTTATCTACTGAACACTTCTTCCAACAATCTACTAGCTGAATTACACTTATGCTAGAAATTTTATCTAACAAAACTGCTTAATCATGACAAATATTCCCTGCAAAATTGGGAAAAAGTGCACATACCATACTCCTTACGCGTTTTTCAAATAACACATACACATAAACCATGTACATGTCGACTTATTTTTACTTAAAAAAACATCCCAAGAATTATACAAAAATGCATTGTGCACACTCTTCACTATATCCATGTACACTGCTTTTTTCTCATAAAATTAGAAAAATTTCACGAAAATACATGACAATTTTTCTGAATCTTTAAACCCCCCCGGTAAAAAGAACATATATGAAATTACCTGATCGCGAAAAAGTATATACCCTTTCCAAATATGAACATTTCCACATATAAAATAAATAAAATATCCAAAAACTTTTACCTCTAATCATCTATTATATTATAAACGTCACCAACGAATTCATACCGCAAGCATTAAAATACTTAGTGTCAAATATTTAAATTATTTCCATGCACGTTTACTTCAACTAAAACATATACCAAATTCCTACAAACATAAAATTCACAAAATAACTATCATTTAATTAAATATCACTAAACCATGTACACGTCGACTTATTTTTACTTAAAAAAAAAATCCCAGAATTGCACAAAAATGGCATTGTGCACACTCTTCACACACATCCATGTACACTGCTTTCTTCTCATAAATTAGAAAATTTCACGAAAATGCATGACAATTTTTCTGAATCTTAAACCCTTAAAAAGAACATATATGAAAATTACCTAATAACGAAAAAGTATATACCCTTTCCAAATATGACATTTCCACGTATAAAATAAATAAAATATCCAAAAACTTTTTACCTCTAAATTATGTATTATATTATAAACGTCACCAACGAATTCATACCACAAACATTACAAATACTTAGTGTCAAATATTTAAATTATTTCCATGCACGTTACTTCAACTAAAACGTATACCAAATTCCCTACAAACATAAAATTCACACAAATACTATCATTTAATTAAAATATAATTAAATTCAAAACACTACTTAAAATATAAATACGCACATACATTAAATTAATAAAAATTAGCTTACAATCCTAATTACTTTAACTAAATCATTGCTAATAACAATTTTCCCAATAATACCAATTATTTTTACTTCCACCTTACATTTTAGAACATGCATAAAAATAATATCCTCAAATAATTAAAAATACTAACTTACCTAATCTTTTTCAGAATCTTGCTTAAATGGTGGATACACTTTTATTATGTATTCAATAAAATTATTGAACGATTTTTTTCTGCGAATTTTTCCCCCACACTTCCTCTGCTAAATAAAAAGCAAAATTCTCTTTATCACAATGCCTCGGAATGGCGCTTTTTATAGCACTCCACGTGCCCTGTATTGTATTGATATGTGCACCTGTTTCCGGATCTTTAAAATAATATTTGTGGTTCACAGCAAGATGTTTAAAACCTTCATCTTCCAAACATTCATACGATTTTTCACTTTAGATAGCGCCATGCGATCCCCAAAAATTAATCAACCCTACTTCGCACAACACACAATGAAGCTTAATACTGCAGCTAATAGTACTGCCACAGATGTTTTTCCAAATTTATCCCCTTTTCCGATTAAAGAACTGTAATTTATTTGTCCATTAATGTCACATGACCATATCTCATGATCTCTCATTTCCCTCACACAAAATAATGCATAATCGAAACTGAGTACTGCTCACATTATTACCAAAGTCCCAGGTAGTAACCTTTATCGCCTCCAAAATGTCGCCAAACTATCAGTTACCATATTCTAAAAATCAGCCTATAATTCTAAAGTAAAAAGGTGAAATCTTCTTTGCAGTTAAAACTGTGGATTACAACTTGCACATGTAACTGTTCCATTGTATTAATTGTATTATTGCAATTGTATTATGTTTCATCTTCAGTTGGAGGTCACAAAATTCAATAGATGTCACCTCTGGACGCCAAAAATATATGAACCTAACGGCTGTAAGGAAGGAGATCGAAAATCTCCTTCCTAACAGCCTCTCTCCTCTATTATCTTGCAAAAAAGCCATGTTTAATAATAGAATATTAGCAGAAATGTTTGTAATATGGGTCTATAAATATGTTTGTGTGCTTATGTATATATTTCTTATTAAATATGGACATTTTCTTGTTAGCAACATCACCTCAAGAAGGCTTTGGTGTCAAACTGAAAAACATTGCTAAATGTGGTTGTCAATCGCAAAGAAAAGCCACCAAATGCAAAACTTTCACTGTTAAAAATTAGTTATCATAAAAACTGTATGGTAGAGTATTTTAGCATTTTTTATTTTTATTTTTTTGGGAAGGGAGCTGCCTGTACTAATAAGAAAATACCATTAAATGTATATATAACATAAGGAAATGTGACATTTCTCACATTTAATACATATAAATGTGTCACAGTATATACTAGTAACCACTTTATTTTAATATGCAAGAAGAGTTATTTTCAACTAGGTAAGAAGTATATTAGTTTATATTTAATGCTATTGTATTCATTCAGGTCAGTAAATTAATCATTTGTTCTATCAGATATTAATTAGATATTTTCTGTATTACTTATGTTAGAATATTTGTTTAGTTTATTATTATGTATATATTACATAAAATTAAATGTGATTTCTTGGAAAAAATGTTGTATGAACTAGAAAATAATTTTCTTATTCATATGAATTTTATATTAGAAAATGTTTATTTTTCATTTCTTTTACAGATTTTGTATTAGTTTAGTTTGTAAATTTGAGAAATTTACAGACATTGAACATGAGTACAAAGTTTTATGTGTCTTTAATTGCAAATGAGAGAGAAACTTTTAATGTAAATGAAGGAGCACTAAAAAAAGCTGCTGTTGATGTTGCCCGATCATACAATCAGAAAGCTTTAAAGAAAGGTTCTACTTATCTTGATTACAATAATGCTGCAAACCGATGTGCTTATATTTATAAATATGCAGATATACACACAGGTCTTGTGACTAAATATTTCCGAAAGTTGATTAAAAAGAAAAAAGTTAAAAAGTTGCTGGAATCTAAAAATAATTTAAAAATCTGTTGTCTGGGAGGAGGTCCTGGCACAGATATTATAGGTATATTTCGAGCCTTAGCAATATTTCCTGCTTTTCATCAAAAAGTATCAGAAGTCACAGTTCTAGATATTTGTGGAGGATGGAGGAATTCATTCAAGCGAATTATATCAAGCATTAAAGAAGGAAAAGTAAAGGAGATACCAGAAAATTTTATTGATGAGAAAACATTTGTTGCTCGCCTGACCTCTGTTGATCTTCTTGGCTCCTTACCACAAGGAGTTGTGGACATAATTTCAAATGCAGATATTATATGCATGGTCAAATTTGTATCGGCAGTTCTTGGAAAGCCAGAATCAATATCAGCATTACAGGTATGTAATAAATATGTTTGGCCATTTTATATTAAAGGATTTCACTTCAGTTTTAATGTTTACAAGCTCGTTTGTGAATGGCAGGTTATTTTTTTTTTTTTTTCCTTTTCCAGTATGCAAAAGGTTTGAAAAAAAATGGTTTTTTTTTTTTTTTTTTTTTTTTTTTTTTTTTTTTTTGTTATATGTCCTCCACTGGCCGAGTAGCTCAGACCCCTTAATGCTAGTATTTTTACTGGTTTCAATCCTAGGCAGATGGGCTGGCTGTACAGTTGGTTTCTCTCAGTTATAGCAAGAATAAAAGCCAGTTTTCATTAGAAAGTTTTTCATGAAGCCATCCTTTCCCTTAGGCAGATAGTCATTGCGTGCTTTGTCAAATAATGTAAATTGTTACGTATATATATATATATAAGAAAATTTTAAAAAAAAAGTACTGGAAACAATACATTTGAATATAATTCTTAATGTGTGCGGATTTTTATTGAACAAATCTGGTGTTAATCTTTAATACAGACATCCACAGAGAATTTCATTAGTAATTAGTAGTAGTATTTAATATTTAAGCATGTTTGAGAAAATGAAATGCCTGAAAAACTTTTAGCCACTGATGATGAGCACTAAATAAAAATATGTGCTCTACGTATTTTTTTCCTGTTAAATTTTCTCATTTTACTTTCAGTTACCATATTTTACGGACTATAAGATGCACTATTTTCTTCAAAAAATTTCCTCCCAAATTCAAATACACCTGATACTTGGAAATCAATATAAAAATGTTCAGTGTCTGATACAAAATTCCTGTCAGTCTTAAAAATGGCCATATAGTATTATCAGTAAGATTTATTCAGAGCATTAGTAACTTCTGAAAAATCCTTTTTAGATTATGAAAGTTTAAAGCAGGGATTTCCACTGGAGTTGATATTAACCCTTTGGGGGTTGAGGGAATTTAACAGGAGTCGGTGATGGTCAGGGAGTCGATAGCTGAATATGTAATATTCAGCTGAGAATTGATCAGCATAACCAAGATCCCAATGATTACAAAGAAATTATTAATCAAATTGATAACAGTGTATTGACATAAAGCTGAGTCGCATAGTAAGGAAGAAATTATATAAAATAAATATAAGGGGAAAATACATACAAAATGATTTTATATACTATATTGAAAATCAATAATACTTTTTAAAAATGTATACAGTTAAAAGTCTTTCATCCGGATCTCAAAGCTACAAACTTTCTGCGCATGCATTAACGCATGCACATAATACCTTTATCCGTGCACGTTTAATGTATAACGGATCATATGATCTAAGCTAAAATGATTTAATTATCCATTTCAGTTAATGTTGCAGATTGCGTTGTTCCTTAATCTTCGAATTGGATCCGGCTTATTATTTTTTGCAGACTGTTAGAGCAATTTTATAAAAGTAAGTTGGAACTTTCGAATTATGTCAAAAAGAGTTTCCGAATTCTGGAGCCACCAAAGGATCTACAAAGGGAAAGCATGTTTCGATGCCCATCAAACAAAAAGTGAAATTGCTGCAAAAAATGGATAAAGGCTCCTTTGTTTCTCTAACCATTTCAAAATCTGTTTATCAACTTCACACTGCTCTGCATGCGGGGGGGGGGGGGTCGCGGCGCGCAATAAACTGGGAGTTGATCTGTCAGCACTATCCTTATCTTCAGGGCAGATGTTTTTATTTTATTTGGCTTATAATTCCTTACTAAATGTAGTATTTCATCTCGATGTACTTCGTCTTTGATATGATTTAAATCAAATTCCTTGTCATTATAAATATCACGAATACAAATTTCTGGTTGCAATTTTCTAATTTCAACTATGCATAATGTACGCTTTACACATGTGCGTTGAAAGAAATGTTTAATAAAGTAAAACAAATAAATATTAAGCTTTTTTTTTTTTTTTTAATTTTGATACCCTTTAGATCATAATTGCTCTTTATTTCATAAATTACGGTTTCATATTCTTAATTTTATAATTTCTGCATGCCATTTTAACAGATTTAAACTGAGTGCAGTGTGAAATAATTAAATGCAAGAACATAAGAAAACACTTTAAAAGATATGAAGAATGCAAAATTAAAATGGAAAACAAGAAACAGCATGAATATTTTTGAATGAGATAATTTAAAAATTAAATTAAGCAATTTTACACTAAATATTAAAAATTTGCATCAGTACATCGAGTGCAGCCATTAATTAGAAAAAATGATTGCACAGATACGTAGAAATCTTTATGGTGTAGAAATGTAGATTGTAGATCTATAATGAAGTACAAGAATTTTGATTGCCTAGAGTGTTGATTCATGTTGAAAAGTAAACTTGCCAGCCAAGGAAGATTAAATATTCATCTTTATTTAAATTGTAGGTAAACACTTTGAGGCCATAATGGTATATTAACTGCATCTGTTTCATAACAGTTACATTGTAGATATTGTTGCATTAGGAAGAAAAGCATCAAGTAGTATCTTAGTAAGAACAGAGATAGAAGCAAAGTGCGCAGTTATCCAGTTAAGAAGCTCACCAAGGGAAAGGTTTCACTTCTCAAAATTTTGAGTTTAGGTTCCAAATTAGCTACATCATTAACAAGTCATATGATGCAGATTCATCTAGAAATGACAAAATGCATAAAATGGCATTACTATTTTTAGAATAGGGAGGGAGAATTAAGAGGTTTTGCTTAAATTATAATCTTGATTTACATATTTTTGACTGATCTGTAATGCCCATTGAGATGTGTAGCAAGTGGAATAATAATAAATAATAATCACATATGTACATAAAATCCCCTTACTTTTGCCGCTTTTGGTCTTTCTTTCAAGAGCTAAATTCATTAGAAAATTGTGTGATTTTTAATATCATGAGCTATGAAAATATAAATTTGTACAGATTTCATGGCTTTATCTGAAATATAACATGAGCTATTCCCATCTTAATTGTTTATTAAATAGTTGTTCTACTAATTAGAAAAGCCCACCAGTGGCTGAGCGGTAAAGTCGCTGAACACTGGTAGTTCGGTCCGAGGTTCGAATCCCGTGAACGGGTGGGCTGCATGTTTTCCCCATGTGTAACGTGTATACGAGCCAGTTTCCCTTAAAAGTCCTCCACAAAGGCAGCTCTCCCCTTAGGCAGATAGCCCTAGTGTGCTTTGCCATAATTAAATAAACCAAACCAAATTAATTAGAAAAATAATTCATCATGATCTACATACTGCTCAGTTACGGAAAAGAAAGGGGGGACTAAACTTGCTCAAATATTCTAGTGCCAGCTGAGAGCGAAACAGTATGTTTATTATTTAAATTAGATTTATATAGTTATATCTGATTTTCCAAACAACAAAAAAAAAAAAAAAAAAAAAAAATACAATATATGTATATATTTTCTAGCAAACTCCTGAATAAAAATTCAGGAAAGAAAGTTTAAACTCCTAAATTAAGTACAGTGTGACATAGAGAGCCTTTTAAAAGAGGCCCTGTAGAACATGTGAAATAATGAATAAGTGAGTAAATACAGTGCAGTGTGATAACAACTACCTAGAAGTGGTGTGGGAAGTGTCCACTAGTGACCTTGAAGCAGCTGGTGTGCAGTCATTTGAGTGAAGTTGAGCTATATAAAATTCACAAAATATGCATCACTGGTCAGGTGACAGTCCTGGACACAGTTCTTTTAGGTTTCACTGCATGGTCAAAAACTTTATATCTGGTATGCCATGTCTTCACACCACATTCATTCTGTTTTTCTATGAGACTGTGAACTGAGCTAGTTAATCAGTAACCATAGTCAGTTGTGTATGTTGAAAACTCACTGAGGATGAGGGAAGGAATGATTAATTTCAGCAGAATTGAGTCATAATGCATACAGCTGGTATAATGATCATCTACATTGAGTCAGTGTTCCCACCTGATCACATCATCAGTTGTGCTACAAGCAAACCTTGGCCACCTCATTCTCCAGATTTATCACCCTGCAGTTTCTTCTAATGGGGAGCTGTAAAGAACAGACAGGTGTACAGCAGCATCCCTCATTCATTTAACTCTTTCGCATCGAGAGAGGGCAAAATCTCAATTCCCCAAACATCAAAAACGCCCATATCTAAGAATTTCTCCTGGAATGCTTTTCCTTCCCCCATGACAAGTTGAATACTACAGCGCTAACAATAGCCTTACTTAAGTAAAGCGAGAACTTCTTTCTTCGACGCTTTGACACTATGTGAAGTTCCCCCATGGAACGGGATTGCAACTTTGGGCATCAAAAGCTAAACACTGGCAGTAAACAAAGGAAAGAGAAGGTGATAAGAACTACTTTTAGTAGCTTCAAAAGAATGATTGACATGTCATTTAACAACACCTGAAAGCAATGAGTAATGCAGTAACGTGATTGGGGAAAGCACTGGGTAGGAAATTATTCAGGCGTTTCGGGCGTCCAGCCGATGTCTGAATGCTCGGGCATTTGGGGCGTTTTCTATGCCAAAGAGTTAAAGAATTCCAGAAAACTTGATCACAACTATCTGGGCAATTCCACAGAATGTCTTCACCTATGCTTTTCAGAATTCAGTGCTTTTAGAATGTGGCCTTGCTTTCACACATGGCTTAAGGTCAAGAGCGGATACTTTCAGGACCTACTCTACATAAATTCTTGTCACAGTGTACTGTATTTACTCAATCATTTATTCTTTTCATATCTGTTCTGTGGAGCCTGTTTTAAAAGTCTCACACTGTATTATCTTTTATTTGCTCAGACTTTCACCTGAATCAAGTATTATTCGTAATATATAAAGTTTAAACTCCTGAATTTGGTATTTTATTAAACTATGAGATTTACTGTAAATCCAGCTTATTTATTTCTATTTGAAAACAATTAAAAATTATGCATTTAGACAAGGGAAACCTGGCTTCTCTTTTTTTTTTTTTTTTTTCATTGACACCTTTTAAGTGAATGGTTTTCTTCATTGACTCCCTTACGTTTTCCTCTATAATATTTGT